GACGCATTTAGATGTGCGGCCACGGCATTGAGATGTACTGAGCCGTGTTAAGAGTTTCGAAGCTGCATTGAGGAGCACTGAGGTTGAATTGAGGTGTTTTGAGCCATATTTAAATTCTGCCGAAGCCGTATTGGGGCTGTATTGAGATGTATCAGAGCACAGCTAATTGAAGCTGAGCAGCAGAGAATGTCGTGCTTTGTGGCCGAACGGGCTTGTCCGTGCTGCAGCGGCACGGCATTGTGGTCGTAAAAGGGATCCTCCGCGCTATTGTGGAGTAAGAAGATTGCCCACCAGTAGAAGGTAAGAAAAGGAGATGGAGCACTCGAGCTGCCAGAGGCGATGTAAGTCTGCAGGGCCGTGTGTTGTCCGTCTGAGCTCTCTGTCCCAATCGCGGAGCCGGGGGGGGGGGCTCAGATTAAATGTGTCCAGTGTGTGGCCCTGTGCAGGGCTGACTGTGTGATGTGTGCCCCCCCGGGGGCCAGCCCCTCTCTTTAATACGTGGATCAGTTTGACCTCCGCATTTGATGTGCAGAGCAGCCCGACCCCCTGCTTTTGTTCCGGAAGAAAAGTCCCCTATACCGAGAGCAAAGACCTTTTACAAGGCTCCGCTCAGGAGTTAGTGTGATTCACCAGAACTCCGCCTGAATGGGCATTTGGTTATCGCACCATTAGGCAGTCAAACATTTTCAATCAGTCGACAGCAGCAGAACGGGACGTCATCATCGAATAATTGAAAAGTCAGTTCTTGAGCGGTTGCCAATTTGTTACCAAATCTGTAATAAACCAGCTGCGGATGAACAGTGTTGAAATTTGCACGCTTGGCCAAATGCGGTGGACATGAAGGATCATAACTGGCATTGGTGTATTTTGGATTTCAGGCTGTGTTTGAGTTTTGGATTTGGGATTGCCGAGTTGCCGAGTTGACTCCAGTATTTTAGGCTGACGTGTATAATACGCTACGTACTGTGCATCCGTAGCAAACAGTTGAGTCATGTTATATAACACCCAGTCACCGTCGGTGGAAGGGAAGGGTGCTCGTACAATCCCAGGGTGGGGCCTTCTCAGCGCGCCCCCCCCCCCCCGCCCTCGCTGCTATATGTGGGGCACAAAGCCGAGCGCTCCCACAGGAGCCCAGAGAGCTGGGAATAGTTGTCTGAGCTTCGATGACGGTCGTCAGATAATTGACCCCCGCTGAATTGATGTCCACGGGGGGATCTGAAGATGAACAAATATGAAATTCCAGCTTTGTAGCCTTTAAACAGCAACGCATTGATTGAGTACGTTTTCTCTTTTGATTTTCCTGCTAAAGCAATTGCAATTCAAGCCTTTCTTTGTCATAAACTGACACGCTGTTTCTGGCAGGTTCAATATTGACCCTATTGGGGTCATAGTTTGGGCATGTAATGTGCATATAATGTAGATGGTGTGCGCCAAAAACCGGGACACGCATTTGCGGAGCTGTGAGAACACTCGGCCGTGAGTGGCATCAGCCTGGTGAAATTCTCGTATTTATTTAACAGCGAAGAGCTCAGTGGGGGGAGATTGAAGGGAGTAATTGCTTTCACAGGATTCCTCCATTGATGAAATGATTCTCTATTGACAGTTGACAAGCTTCCATTAGGATCACAACCCACGGCTCCTTTATTTGGTCGTTATCAGAGGCGGCCGGACAGCAGCTCTGATCACAATAACAGTTTATTTATTAAGGCCTGCGTGTGTCGCAGTGGTCTCTGAGGAGAAAAAAAAAAAACCCTCCCCCTGATTGAAATAAAGATGTCAAAGTGAATCAGACAATGAGCTGATTCCCATCTGCTCTTTGCGCTTTCATTTCAGTTTCCTTTTATCTCTATCTGTCCCCTCTGCTCGTCTGTCTCGTTATTTGTCTGTGAAGAGCAAGAATGCTTCCCTGTCACAATACTGTCCTGCTGTGATTACCATGCAAATGTATTTCATTAGGATGTAAATTATAAACATAATGATGATTTTTAATTAGAATGTAAATGATGATTTTTGTATGAAGATATCAGCAGCTGGTAGAGAGGACTGTGACAGCGAGCTGTTGTCTCTACCTGACTGAATGGACGGATGGCCGCCCTTTCATTTATCTCCCAACACCTCTGTTTCTATTGCTGTGCTTCCTGCCTGAGGAACATCAGACAACACATATACCCGTTTGAATTGATTTCGCTGTGCACTTGTTGGCAGCAGATGGGGTTCCAATGCAACGCATTCTCGCTCCCAACTCGTCAACCACCATCGCTCCCTCCGTGGCTTTATGTTTCAGACTATGTTTGTGTAGCATCAGCTTCTGTTGCGTCAGGGATGCTTGTCTGTTCCGGTCATTTCCAAAATAAACATCTGTTGTAGGTCAAGCAGTTTTTAGGTTAACTTATTATTGAGATTAGTTGCAATTAATCGCGATTAATAATTATAATTATTGCCCAGCACTAAAAAAAATGTTCAAATCTCAACCAGCAAAAGAGTGGATTGCTGTTGTAACAACTATTAAACTGGGCGCAGTCAGGGTCCTCGGCCCCGCCACCAGCTGTTTCAATCTGTGTGGCGATGAACTGATTTTCTACGGCCATCGGAGGTTAGACGAAGGAGAAGGAGGTTTTTGCGCCTCCAATGAGAGCTCTTTCCTCACCTCTCCTTTTCCCGTTAGAACACACAGGTTTAGTGTTATTATTCACAGCTAGCTGTTTGTTAAATATAAGCAAATAACATGCAGAATGTGTGCTGGTAGGTGCACAGGTTTATTTGCACTTGATGCAATGATTGGACAGTCCTGAGACTCTCACACTTAACAGATTTTTAGCCTTTTTTTGGCGGAGCTTTTAAATCATTAAATGAAGCTCAGGCGAGTAGGGGCGGGGTCAGGAAGTACCAGCCAACCAGACGTGGGTGTCAATACCGTAAACCAATTGCATTGGTTCTCTCTGTTCTCTCTTTTGCTGACACCTCCAATCTACAGCAGAACCTTGCATATCAGGTGCAACTTGGGCTCTACCACCAACACCACCAGTGTCTGGACTCCCAAAGGGGGGGATATGCCTCATCTCTGCTCGTCATCTCGGCCCTTGGTCTAGCCTGTGGCAGGATGGAGTCCAAGCCCCCAACAATTTTGCAATATCAATATTATGCCTGTTCTAATAGAGCATTGTTTTAGAGCAAATTTCAACAAGTCTCTCCGGATGGAAATTCTGTCAGCATCTAATTTAACATGTAAAAAAAAATGTTCACAGTTGAAAAGAAAAGCGAACATCAATTATTTGGCCTGTAAAAAGACGCAAACCCTCCATTGTCTAATGGGTTGTATCTATAATTGCAGTTAAAGAAAAATATCTGAATCTCAAACATTAAAAGTTCTTAATTCATGCCACACTCACATGGATTATGGCGGAAGTTAGACGGAAAAATTTGTAAAGACTGCTTTAAATTCACATCATTCCCTTGGACCCTTTGCTGTTCTTATGCCGTCAGGAAGGCGTTGATTGAATGCCTGATTCCATGTGATTACAGCTGTATGTATCTCGTGGGACCTCCCCAGTGGGTCCTGCATCTCAGTCATTCATCAGAACAGTTTGGTCTGAAAATGCCTATTGAAGACATTGTTGCAGTGTGGTCACCGCCAATGCCAACGTCAATGTCACGATGGAACACGGCATGTGAGGCAATGCATGTCCATTGATGGGGGCTCTACGTGTGCAACATCAACAGCTATTACTATAGTATAGTAATAGCTGTTGATCTAGCCACACAAAATCACAACACCAGACACTGACCAGCGATTCAATGAAAGTAGTTTTAAATTTTTACGCTTAACAAATTACTTTTAGGTTTTTGAGAAAAAATAACAACTTACGTCAACCTATTTCCTAATCATGCCTATACGGAGTCAATCATTGACATTATCTGTTCTTTTGTTCATTTATTTGAATCTTCAAAGCTTACAGTTATTGTATATGAAGCTATTTCGTCAGTAGGGGGTTGCGATGATGGTTGAATTTCCTGGAATAATAATTTCCCTTGTGCCCTTAATTCTGCTCAAATCCTACCTTCTGTTAGTGCGGCCGTCGTATGTTGAATCGTATGAATCCTTTTTCTTTGCAGTCTGAAGTGCATCACCTGCCACACACACACACACACACACACACACACACACACACAACCATAGCCATGACCAGAAGGACCTAATGATCTCGTCATCACTCTGGTATCAGTGGTGCACGGTGGGACGCCACCGTTAATCACTCTCCGAATGTCCTTTAATGAATAGAGTTCCTATTGTGCCGTTGGATGCGGACAGTAATGATAGGTGCTGACATGACGTGGATTGTGTGAGATGTAACGGAATGAAACTTTTCAGAGTGAAGCTGCAGGTCATCTGTCTGGGATCCCCTCTCTCTTTCTCTCCGTGACAGCCGTCAGCTCCTCTTTCTCTGTCTTTTCCCCGTCTTTTGTTAGGTAAATGAGGAGAGGCCGACCCCATTCTCATTTTGCAGCCACCCCCTGGCCAACGGAAGACAGAAAGAAATGAAGGGCTGAATAAATGAATGAAACACAGGGAGAGAGCGGATGAATAGTTTTCTTCCTATTTGTGAATTCAGCACTGTCTCACTTCTGAAATAGCGTTTGAAATCTAGCTTTACCTCTGCGTTGTGATATTGCTGTACTCAGAAGGCCGTTTGACGGTTCATCACCAGAGCGAAGGGAAACTCACAGTCGGGGACAGTCCCACCGTCCCCGTCCCACCGTCCCCGTCCCCCAGTACCCGTCCCACGGGCTCCGCGGGGAAAACCTGCAGCAAAAGTAAACTGCCTGCACCTGTAATGGTCCAAATGGAGACGATGTGGATAGTGTGTGTGTTCGTTAGCAAGGTAATCCATCAAGAACAGCTTCAATGCTTTTTGTCACAGATTCACCAGGAAGGTGCAACAAATAAAAAAAATATTGTGAATAAATCCATGACAACACAACAGACGTATAGAGATGCAACATGTAATATAAATGAAATCATTTTAATAACACTCCCAGATCACTGGAGAAGACAAATACTTTACACTTTAAAATTAAAAACAGATTCACATCCCTGACGCGAGCCGATGTTCACTTTTTATAAGCTAGCAGGGTGTTGCTTTTGCTTCCGGTCTTTCAATAGATGTCCTGCTGTAATGTTTATGGACACGTGTGATTAAAACAGAGTGAGACCCCCCCCCCCCCCCCTCGAACCTCTTCCGTAAACATTCGTTTTAACTGGCAGTCCATGCCAGTAAACAGATCACAACCAAATAGTTTTCTTTTTTTACAATACCAAACACATATCAACAGAATTGAAAGTCTATACACGGCCCCGTGCAGATCCCTTGGAATCTGCTGATGATACAACTTCACAGTTCATTTATTAAGTCCATCCCTTTATTTTCAGTAGGTTTTTTTTGTGTTACTACAAATCCACCGACATGATATCAATTAGGAACTGACAGTTGTGGGGATACGTCCACCTTCCTGATCCTCCTCAGGCAAGAGCTTTTCTCTCTGGTCTCGTGCCAAAGTGTCCTCATCGACGACACTTTCCAGGCAGCTGGGGATTATGTAGCGACGGATCTCCAAAGGAACTTAGATCCGGTTGTACAGTGGCTGCGTTGGTACTGATTTAGAGTAAATTTTAAAATCCTTTCATTGGGGAGAGTACTTGTGTCCATGCTTGTCTCCAGAATTCGGTTTGAACATTTTCTCTCGCAAACATTAATGACAGTAATTCCTTCATATTCATTTTGCTGCAGGGAAGTCTGCTTCAGCTCCGTCTTTACATTCAAGCAGTGGATTCGGGGGTAGATCACGCTCGGACCCATGCAGTTGTATTGCAGCAGTCATCTCAAAAAAGGGATTTCCTGGTCCGGGAAATGACATCACTGCAGGCGTGGCCAGTACTGTGACATGTCCGCTTCATTTCCTGGAACTTGGACCGGAACGGAGACACCAGGGGAAATCAGACCTGGTGATGGGAGAACCAATAGGTCATTAGAGATGACCGCCGCGGCACAATATGAGAAATATGAAATATGTGTTTTGACTCAACACAGAGCCAGTTATAGATGTTGCACACCAAGTACAGATGCAAGTATTTCCATGTTAAACACAGTCCGTACAGGGCATTCAACAGGGCACCAGTTGTGAGTTTGTGTTTTCCTACCTGTTGACGATGTTGCAGAGGACGTCACTGACTGGCTGTTGATGTGTGGCTGCATGTGTGGAGGAGTATATGTCTCATAACTTCTTCCATTTAAAGTGGGGCTGGTGGGCAGCATGCAGGAATAAGAGGGCTGGCTGGATGCCTGGAAACATTAATGTGTGTTAACCATTGAAATAGCAGAATTGGCCACCTTAATGAGCCATTCCCCATCGTGTTGGCATCATGCAAGATTAACAGCGTTAACGCTAATAATTAAATCAATTCCTTTTTTCAACAGCAAACATTATGGTTCATGAGTTAAATTGAATACAGTGACCGACAACAGATCTGACACACGCAGGACCCTTAAACTGCAGAGAAAATAGAAGGACATTATTGAGATTAGTTGCAATTAATCGCGATTAATAATTATAATTATTGCCCAGCACTAAAAAAAACCAAAAGAAAACTATTCAAAAGATAAAAATGTTCAAATCTCAAACAGCAAAAGAGTAGATTGCTGTTGTAACAACTATTAAACTGGGCGCAGTCAGGGTCCTCGGCCCCGCCACCAGCTGTTTCAATCTGTGTGGCGATGAACTGATTTTCTACGGCCATCGGAGGTTAGACGAAGGAGAAGGAGGTTTTTGCGCCTCCAATGAGAGCTCTTTCCTCACCTCTCCTTTTCCCGTTGGTGGCGTCAGAACACACAGGTTCAGTGTTATTATTCACAGCTAGCTGTTTGTTAAATATAAGCAAATAACATGCTGAATGTGTGCTGGTAGGTGCACAGAAAATAGAAGGAAAGAAAGAAAATACTTTAAAATAAATACTTTTAAACTTGAAAGACATTGAGCTCTCCATCTGGTGTTTATTCGGCAATGCGGGTGATCTCAGCGTTTAAACCATGCAAGGAACGTGGGTTTTGTTATGGCCCAATGTCTACAGGTGCAGGTGAGAAGACCAAATAGGATCCAGGAGGTCTAGTCAGCGTTGATGAAAGAGTTTCAAGGCCTTCAAATACCGCCACTCTCGAGGTTCAAGGATTGACGAGTTTCATAATGATCTACTTTAACCGTTGGCAAACATTTACACATGTTGTATGAAACTGTGGTAACACTTGTGGTTAGCTAACCCGAGCTGAAACAAGTACCCGATAATACGAATTATCTCCTGATTGAGTTGTTGGAGGATGGTTACGTAATGTGCTGTCTTGTTTGCAATATTCTTACTTGCATAGGCAGGCTGGCAGCCATACTGAAGCTGGGCATGGCTGCTAGGCTGTAGCTGTTGGACAGAACTGGGTCTGACCTTCCCAACATGGTTCCTGATGAGAAGGACACTAGAGAGACAAGGATGGAGAAAACACAGATTGGTTTTACAGTATCCAAGGCAATGTGACTTAACATATGAGACTACCATGATATTGGTGGCGGCAGGAGAGATGTTTGGCCCATGTAATGTATATCTTTTGTCACAGGCTCCCATTCCCATTATGTTTTGAACCCATTCATGTTATGGTCCTGGCAGGTTTCCGTACATCATGCTTATATCTGGACCCGGTTCCTGCCATGGCCCTGCTGGCACTTACGGCTTCTAGCACTATTATTATTCCCACTACCATTACTGGTGGGGCGGCACGGTGGTTTGGGGGTTAGCTGCGTTGCCTCACAGCAAGAAGTGGCTGGGTTCGACTCCAGCGGCCTTTCTGCGCGGGGTCTGCATGTTCTCCCCGTGTCTGCGTGGGTCCGGGTTCTGCAGCTTCTTCCCACAGTCCGAACACACGCTCAGGTTAGTTGGTGACTCTGAGTGAATGGTTGTTTGTCTCTGCCTCAGCCCTGCAATTGACCAATCCAGGGTGTACTTTGTCTCTTATCTCTCTCACCCCACTCACTTAAGTTTCTTCCTTTTTTCTCCGCATAGAGGGGATTTTTACGGTACCATGTGAGGGTTCCCGGACTGGAGATGTTGCAAGTGTACATTTTGTAAAGCCCTCTAAAGCGATTCAAATGAATTGAATTGAATTAGTTTGATTCCCGGCTCCCCCCCTGTGTGTCTAGGTGAAGTTGAGCAAAATTCCAAACTCCCAAAACTGAATAAAAAAGCTGCTATGTAAGTCCTTTGCATTCTAATACCTTGACGTACGATACTGGAGCCACAGTGGTATTGCCTCATTTTAGAGAGTTTCCGTTTTTAACAGAGAAGGTGGTTGTCATTGGTGCCGATAGTAGGCTTATGATTTGTTTCCTTTGGGAGGACGGTGAGCTAGACGACAACAAACTATTAATGACGTTTAGATACAATACAAACCGTAGCAAGAAAGAAGCAGCAAGCCGTGCCTTGTATTTGGCATTGTCATAATCAATTCTTGAGTCATGGCTACAAGGTTAGCGTATCAGTTCATCTGCCAAAATGTGAAACTTATCACGAGACAGATCACAAGAAAGGACAAAAACATCCAAAAGGACAACCCAAAGGTATTATACGCCAAATTTAGTTTTAGTAGAAATCAACTCAAGTGGTAACTAGTTACTATGCTAATTATATGTTTCAGTGTAATCGTATATGTACTTGTAGAACACGTCCTTGTCAGTACCTGGAGTGGTAGGTTGTGGAATCGGCTGGTAAACACTGGGGTTGAAGCTGCTGCTGATGGGAATGTGGTTGGAGGAGTTGGACACTTGACGACGTTGATTTCTGAGCTTCTCCTCTCTTCTCCACTTGGCTCGTCTATTGGAAAACCAAACCTGCGCAATAGAAAAGAAAAAGACATACGTTGTTATAAGGTTGAAGGAGGGTTCACACTTCTATTACCGACTGAATACTGACACGTCCATATGTTTCATTAATGTAATTTACGGGAAAAAAGCATACTATATTACCAGAAGACTTACATACACACTTCAAATAATTACATTTAATAGAGCCTACCTGTATTCTGGCCTCTGGAAGGTCTATTTTGTTGGCAAGGCGTTCTCGGGCAAACACATCTGGATAGTGAGTCCTTTCAAACTCTGCAACAAAAAGACATTACATGAGGACTTAAGTTGTGCCATTTCTAATTGTTGTAAATCAGCAAGGTCAATCCAGATTAAGACAATAATATTGAAGCAATGAGTGCACAACTCACACTACGATGAAAGTAAGCGAAAACAGACGCCTCAATGGTTACCTGATTCATAGTAAACTGCCGCTTAGCACTTTATTGCCAACTGCTACTGATTGGGTAATAATTCTAGATGATTTAACAAAAACCTAGAAAAAACCCGATGAAATGTCTCATTTCATTTTGTTGAGATATTAGAGTCAGCGGTTTTTAGAGTGGCAGTTTTGAATTGGCCTTTGTATCACTCCATGAATCAAAAATGAATGTCAACATCTATTTTCTTCTTAATAATATGTTTAAATCAGGATATAAATGATATATGAACAACAATCCCCTCTATGTAACCTTCAGAATACAGATAGCAAAGCGAGTTTGGTATATTTAAACTAGTGAAGTGGAGATTTGATTGGAGTAAACCCATTTTGATAAAGCGGCCTTTAAAGAAATGTTTTCTTAATTACATAAATGTCAAAGACACAACAAGTGAATGGGGTAAAGTATTGACTAACGTACAGCACCAGTCAAAAGTTTGGACACACTTTCTCATCAATTGAATAGTATTAAAATGAATCATTTAATAATAAATTGTTGTTTTCTTTCCCCTCGTCTAAGTGGACAATTAAAGACGTAAAATGCAGCACCAATATCCGGTTTTCAATAAAACAAGTGATTCAGAGAGTCACTGTCATTGTGGAACCACTTAGCATGTGCATGGGTGTATTATGTACTGATATACAACTCCCGGGTACCTTTCTCCAGTGCTTCTATCTGGTCCTGTGTGAATGACGTTCTGTTCCTCTGCAGTTTTCTCTTCAGCTGAAGCCTCATCTGAGTCTCCTCCGAGTCCTCGCAGTTGGGACTGACCGATATGGCGTTGTCTCCTGCCTCTGCCTGTGGACACTCTGGACCAAGCAAAGGAGGAAGGAAGGGAAGTTGGGCTTAGGCTTGGACAGGTTTTCACATTGTACAATGTCAAAAGATTCCATTAAGTAAAAAAATACATTATTGTTATAGTTGTATACAACAAAAATAAGAAGATTGTGCCTAATGAAGATACAACGCCACTTTGGTTGTTCATACAGGTTTCTGTAGTTGGTGTTTATATCTGATGGTGGTTGTTCCTGGTCCTGTCTTACTCTCAACATTAGAATGATTCTGTATGAATTAAACGTATTGTACATCTTTCTTCTTCTTCTTCTTCTTCCTCTACATTTAACATCCATCGCCGTCTGAGGCAAATTTGGGAATGACTTAAATAGAACTTTATATTTTTTCTTTGTTTTATATGTGAAATCTCCAATTATAAAGTAACTAGTAACTCCAGCCATAACATGAAGGTAGTGGGGTGAAATAACATTAATCCACTTCGAAGTGTAGCAGCTAAAATGTAAACATTTACAGAAATACTATTACCTGTACACAAGGAGAGAACTACACGAGCATCTAAAGAAAAAACACTGAAAACCAAACCTCAGCACAGAATTTAGAAAATTGTTCTGATAATTGTAGCGTACTAATGACACCGTTTCTAACAGGAGCCTGGAGGAATGATTTTGACCTCAATTCTTATTTATTTTATTGGGTCTACACCGCTCCAGCTGTCATTTTAGAAATACCAACTCAATCAGTGGCTACATTACTAGACTCCAACCCACGCCACGGACAGCGTGGACAAAGCAATATGTTGTTCTATAATCCATTAAATGAACCTGAGTAAAAGTAAATGGAACCTTCAGAGTGAAGTTCTCCAACGGAGGAACCCCCGAGCAGACGGGAGCTTGACTCCAGCTCCTCGTGGAACTCTTGTTATTCGTGCTGCTAGCCTAATTATTTACCATCCCCAGCGGACGGAGGCTCCGAAACAGAATGAAGCCATTGCTCAGTGTCACAGTCAGTCAGGCAGAAAGAGACACAAACGAGGGCAGACGAACCATTCTCCCTCCCCTCCCACACACACACAGCAGGCAGCAGCCTTGGTAGTATAGCATGGCTTCGTTTTACCGTTCCTGCCATACAGCAAATGAGGCACTCAGACACAAACGGAAGGATGCTGCTAATTTTAACTCCATGAGATGTATCCTTTACCCCGTATAATGTCAATGCATTTTTTTGTATTCAAGGCATGCCACCATGGGGCATATCTGACTCAAGAAGGCCACAGTCAGCAATAAGGGACATGAATTGATACATAAAATGTGAGTGATAGGAATAGTAAATAGGAAGGGGAAAACTTTATTGCAATCTTTGTAATCCGTAGCCAAAGATGTGTACTCTCACCTACACACGGTGGACTTTCATGGGGAAAATTGAGTCTACATTGCATCCAATAGACATGATTGATGGAAAGAAAAATTCACACGAAACCACCAAAAGAAAAGTACTTAATTAAGTTAAGGAAATAGAACATGAAAGGGTTAGTTAGGTTTATGGTTTAAAACTACTTATTTTAGGGAAAGAACAAAATACTTTGTTAAGATTTCAGCAACAAAACTGTTAGTATTAGGTGGGGAACGTGAAATGCTTGATTGGATTTAGGATTAGCAACAAATCTACTGCTTCAGGAATATATACTGTTTTTGGTTCAAATAAATAATTATTTATTAAAAAGTACAAAAATGATCCGCCAAATAAATCAATATTAATTTCTCATTCACATGGCAGTTTACCAGATTTTGTACTAATCCGCCTTCCATCCCGGATGTGTTAGATGAAGTAGCATAAAGACTGACATGAACATGATTTTGGGGTATGTCTTCCACGAAAGCTAGATAAAAACAAACTCATCTAGTACTCGATTGTTCTTGTTCAGGCCAAAATAGTTCCGATAATCTCTGGACTTGTTTTTACCTTGTCTCTAAATTATCTTCCCTCAAACCCAGACCTCGCTTTTGCTCCATCTCGTCACCACCAGCACTGTACAGTCTCGGTGGCGTTGGCGTCTTACCAGTAGTAGTGAGCGTAGTCCCAGAGTACCACCCTGAGCGTCCTGCCCAGGTGGTTTGTCCATTGAGCATCTTGAGTTTGTCGAACATCCCTTCAGCTCCCACTGTGCCCATTTGCTGCTTATCACTGGCCAGATTCCTGAGGACTCGATTTATTGAGGACACCTGGTGATAAGCACAAACCAGAATTAAATAAGAGCAAATATTTTGGTGGATATTTAAGGCAGAGAATTAATGACCGGATTGGTCAACGGCATCATGTCCAAGTAACACTACAATCATCAAATATATTTAACAATATGTGCAGAAATCCAATATCTTTTTGGTTAATGTAAAACCCAAATAGACGTGTGCTCACGAAAACTACAACCAACAGTGTTCAACCAGTAATATCATGACCTCCGTTCATCAATGAAGCAAAACCACTATTTAAGGGTCCATTGAAATGCGAAGGATTTGATTTAAATCCTTTTTGTGACAGTACTTTGCTAAAGGAATTCTCACAGTACAGACGATTAAGACGTTTTAAATTCAGTTTGACTGAAGACCATAAGACTTTAAGACCACATCTGCCCACTCTAACAAACTATTAGAAGCATTACTGATTGCAAACTTTTTCTAAAAATAAATACCTCCATTATTATACACACGTTTTGCTCAAGTCCAGGTTTCCTTGCACAAAGCCCTGACTGACATAACTTGGCTGAACAGAAAAGTCTTACACTGGGTATATTGTCACTGGTGCAAACTCCCTCTGCCAGCAGTCGGTCTCTGATCTCCCAGGCGAAGATGGACGGACACTCCCTCTTGTACTGAGCGATCTTCCCCACCACCTCTGTAGTTGCCACCCTTGGTTTACTCCCTCCTATGGCCCGGGGACGAATCGAACCTGTCTCGTAATACCGACCCAAGATCTTACTTACACAGCCGTTTGACACCTGGACACAAAAACAGCACACATCAGACATGTCATTCATAGCCGGAGCAAGAACAAATAATAAAGAAGTTTCTGTTTGGTAGACGGAACAATCACAGCAATGGTTAAAGGTGATTAATTTTGTAATTGTGTTTTTGAGTCGTATTGCGTGTGTGAATAAGTTGCATCCACAGTTGCTTTTGGCATCTCTACCGAGCAGTGCAAAATCTTAACTTGCAGTGATGTCATTGAGTCAGTGGTTGAAGCAGAAAGTTTAAAGTTCCAGAAGAAAAACATCAGTGTGTGTGGAGTGAGAAAGGAGAGTGCTGACCAGACCTTGCCAAGGAACTGTCCAACAATGTAATAGGATTGTGATGCTAAATCAGCGGAGTGCTCGAAAGAGCTCAAAAGAGCCTTATGCTGATCAAAGGAAACAAGCAGTGATCTCCAATGTCAAAGTCACATGCCTCGTCAACCCAATCATCCACCGCGACCATCACGCCACCTCCCACTATTCCTTGTGTGTTACTGCTTTGGTGATGGGTCAGCATTTCCAGGAATTAATGGCCAGTCTATTTCTTAGGAGGACATTATACCATGTTCACCTTTCTGCTGAACACCATTTGCACTGCATGTTTCTTTGCTTGACCAGTCTGCATCTAGTGTAAGCATGACAAGATTACCTGCAGTATTCTGGATATGTCACAAGGTCGAGCTCCACTGTGCGCCAGCTCCACTATCTTCTGCCTGGTCGAATCAGGTAAAGGTCTCCCATTCACAAACACACCTCCAAGCTGGTTTATTCCACTGTGACCTACGCACACAACAGAAAAAACGGTTTTCAGCAATCTGTTTTGCCCTGCGGTGATTCAAATAATGATTTAATTTAATCGGAAGTAAGTAATGAAAAGCGAAGGCAAACTAAAATGATCGGGGGGGCATACAGCAAGGAGCAAAGGTTAGAGGCGTATAACAACATACTACATGTAGTTTGTGGGCCTTCTCAGTAATTCATTCATGGTTAGTACAACAATGTAATTAATGCTTTGGCCTGACGCTCAGTGGACTGACCCATGTCTACACTGTGTAAGCTTGCCCACATACGCTGTATTATGCTGTTCCCTGATAAAAGACAAATGTTTCTTTTGGTACCTGCTTAGGAACAAAAAGAAAACAGTGTTGCCAGAGCAACATTACTATTAAATAAAAGCGTGCAATACACAAGTTTTTAATCTATTATTAAATTTTGCGCGTACTGTGATTAATTGCTGTTAATAATGCGATTAATTGCTGTTAAATACAGAACAGTAATGTGATTAATCAATTTTATTTTCATTTTTGACCAGCACTAATAACCAACTAATTTTTTTTTTGGTGGTCAACTTTGTTTAGTTGATTTTTTACTTCATCATCAGTTTTGAAAAACCTATTTTAAACCAAGGTGTGAATGTTAGTTACTGATAGGAAGGTGGCAGTGTGTATGGCTATGGGGTCAGCTCAGTCTCAGTAATTGCAAATGCACGTAGAAAGATTCACAAATCCGCACAGAGCAATTCACAAATATATTCGATATAAAAATGCAAAGTGAAGGATTTACAAATACAGTTTAACACACACACTATTACGAGCTATATTTATATTTGTGGATGCATTTGTTTGCGGATCGCTTCATATATGGGAGCTCCTTTCATCAGTGTGTGAATGGGTGAAGGATGACATTTAGTGGTCATCAGAAAAGAGATATACAAATACAGTCCGTATCTACAATTTACCATGATCGCAAGTAAACAAACAAATTTAACAAACAATTGAAAGGTTCTGATCTGAAATATTAAAATGCTTCCAGTCTGGAAGATATTCTGGGCTGTAACGCTGTGCAGGTTAAGTAGGGATTTACACTGAATCAATTGTCTATTGTCTGTTAATGGTTCTGTGGGGGAAAGCATATTGCAGATTTATAAACCTCTTGGCGGGATATTAATAACCTATACACACAGACATACAAATACACACACACACACACAGTGAGAGTAGTGAGGTGGAGCTGCTTTAAATATTACGTCACATAAATTACTAGAAGCGAAACATATTCTTTTTCCTTTGCAGACACCGGCTTTGGTAGGTTATACATGTGTGTTAAAAGAAAGATTAAAATCCATCAATTTTAGTAGTGTATTATTTTAAACCTGCGACTACACTATTGGTCATACTGACGAAAACACAATGTATCTAACCGTTGATAACACATAACAGTAATGCAAATAACTGCAAATAAAACACAATAAAGTAAAGAAACACATTTACAATTCAAAAGAAAAGTCACAACATAACAGAAATGCACTGTTGGACCTTAAAAACTGACTTTTCTTTTGACTTTTCTCACAAATTCTCTGTCTGGACATTTTCTTTGGTTGATAAAAATGTAATCTTTTTTTAATGAATGCATGTTGAGTTGGTTATAAGTACCGGCATATTATTTCTATTCTTTGCGGGGCCGGTTATGTCTGCAAGGTGCATTCATGACTATTATTTCCGGTATTATTGCTATTCTATAATAAATAATTTGACATTTTGACTTTAAAGGAGCCTGGAGGGACAATTTGTTTTGATTCAACCATTTGAACAGTATCTATTTGAACGCCAAAGTCACACAACTTCTGTATGCAGTATGAGAAAACACATAAAAAAGATGCCATTAATAAAAGTCTAAATCAAAATCGATCAAAATGTGGTCTAAAGAAATGGAAAAAAACTTTCCAATACACCTCATACTGTTCGAGGCTTTGAACTTCTCTTCTGGCTAATTAAATTCGAGTGTCGTGGCCCACGTGGAAGCTGCGGTTGACTTTGTGACGGCAGATTATTTCACCCTAACTCTCACTCGCGCTCAACCGCATCGCTGTAGAGATTTTAATCACGCCGCCGTTCCCCAGAGGAACACAGGCGTTTCCTCCGCTGAAACACAATTAATATACAGACATATGGACATATGGAGCTAATTTGGCTGTGGTCCCTCTGTGTGACACGCACACACACACACACACACACACACGCGTGTGGAAGCGTTCAAAAACACAAGAGAGGGAGGGAGGGAGGGTCTACACGTGTGGTTGACTCAGCTCAACAGAGGCCAAACCCCCCCAAACGCTGGAGAACAAAAAGGTGTGCGTTGTTGTAGGAATCCTGTAATGACTTAATAGGGATGAATACAACTTTTTGGGGGGATGTTTCAGGGTTTTGCCGACGTCAGTAGACCAAGCAGGAGACCCTTAAAATTTAAATAGTCCCCCTCTCAAAATGAGCATATGTCTCCTTTCAGTTAAGACACCAAAAACAATAAAGTGCACGTGTGACAAAGCAACTGTCGCACAAAACAAATGGCCGCCTGCCACGCGGTAACTACCAAGCGTAACAAAATAACTAGCACGATAAAAGACGGCTGTCCATTGAATACTTTGTTGCACACCGTTGCATATAAAACGTGCGACGTGATCTCCAAAAGCTGCTCGTAAAAATGTACACGAAAATCCTGAACATACAAAGTCGTAACAATAGATAGGAACTGGCGGTGGTTAAGACACGCCCCCTCGAGTGAACAACATGGCGGACCATGTCGGATTCTTGAGGGAACGTCTCTCCGCCATGTTGGATTTTTTGAGGGGGTTAGGGTTAGTTTTCTATTCTTACAAGTTAACATTGATTTCCCGTTAAAAACGCAATCATAACAGGTTTATTTTACATGGTTAGACTTAGACTTAGACTCACTTTGAACAGGGCGACGTCATCAGTTGCAGTCCGTACTTATTTCGCATGTATCACCACAAGTTTGTATGTTCAAGATTTTCAACATTTTTACGAACAGGTTTTGGAGATCAGGCTGCAAACGTAACAATCAAGAATCGCATGTAGAATTAATGAATAACAGCCGCTGTTAAATTACAAACGCGCCCTTTCTGTAAGCATGACGTTTTTGGCTTTTGCACGACCATCCGCCCTCCGCCCGGTTGTACCCGTCACTTTCTTTCGGCGCTCCGGGAGCCGATTGACTGAACCCACTTTCCTCCCAATCCATCACTAATGTAACCTGTGCTTCACTCGCTAATGATCTCGGGGCAAATGAATATTGGTGTTCACCTTCAGTTACGGCTCACAACCTCCCAGAATTGATTAAAGTGGAGATGAGGCGATAACAGTTGACCCGATGCTGCTGCCCAACGTAAACCTGGCAAACAGCATCATCAACGAAGGCTCAGCGGGGGGGGGGGGGAGCATCGTGGAGTGGGTGGGATCCACACCGGTCGGAGGACGGATGCCGGATACAAAGAAACAAGCACACACACACACAGCGAGAGAGAGAAGGAATCCACACACCTTCACTGCAGACAGCATGGACCTCTTGTCCCGCAGTGAGAAAGAAGAGATCAGGTGGAGTTCATTGTCAGTTCAACTCAAAACGTTTCATTCAGCCCGGACTAAACTTCACGTAGTGCACAGAGGTGTTCAAACGTCCAATCGGTAAATTCATTTAAAGTTACTTTCATCAAGTGATTCTTTTGAGCCCCGTTTCTTCTGTTTGTGCGCGATGGCGCCGATGAAAGTTATAGCCAATCTTTTCTCTGATGAACTTTCACGTGATCATTCATAAGATCAAAAGTGCGAGAGAAACAAAGTGTGTGCGGCATGAACTCACTGTTTTGCATCATGGAGGCGACGCCCGTCTCCCAGCTTGTTTGACTCCTGAAATCTAAACAGAGCGAGACATACGTATCAGAGCGCGTCGCAGCACGTGTTCGCCTCTCACCTCTTTCCCGCGTTCTGGGGCGGGAATCGGAGAGAGAGAAAAAACATCCTCGATTCTTCAGACCCGCAAAAGTGAAAAGCCGGCGGCCCGGCCCTCGTTCTGCCGTTGGCTCATATGGTGAAGTCCACCAGCAGAGACGTGTGTCCCACCCTGAGAGTCCATGTCTCTCTATGTCCAACACGGCAGAAAGCCATTTATCCTCAATGAAGCTAAAACATTTGAAGGATTGAATCACATTTACGTCTTTTATTGTACAGATCTGGCCATTTTTTTTATCTCTATGAGAGACATTAAAACTATTTTAAACACGTGGTTGACCTTGTACATTTAAATTAAAACTAAACAAAATCTACATAATGACTTCATGTGAGTTATAGGCAACAAAAATACTTCACTTCATTTGGGACATTCACAGTAATCTCCGGGATTAAAGGCTTTTTGTCCCCTTTGAGGACTCATTTGAAACGTATTTCTGATACATCAAAAGTACACAGCAAAATACCAGACTTCTTCATAAAATACGGCTCATTTTTCAAAATAATATGATTCATTCAGGAATAGATCAAGATGAAGGGAAATGGCACTTTTGCCATTATTTATTATGTTTATTTTTCGGAGTGTCTCCGCATTTGTTGCCACTTGTTTAATATTCTCTCACCTAGTTAAAAAGATCCTCATTCACTACCAGCTGAGATTGGAAGCGAACACCGCCGTAACACAATAACTATTTGTTGTCAATAAAATTCCCTCCGCTGCCTCCTAAAAAAAAAAAACTCAAACCCGAGGCCCCTTTTCGGTTGGCCTGGAAGAAAAAAAGACGCTTTCCGATAAAAGCTTCAAAGCAGCGCTACTTCTGCGAAGCTCTTGTCATTAACAACCTGCATAATGAACACACACACACGCACACGCACACACACGCACATGCCGGCCGCGGCCACCTCGTCCCGGCTGTGACTGGGCGCCTTTCTCCGCGTGAAAGGAGACAAAGGGCGGGAGGGACGCGCGGCGCCTCCGCGCGCCAAACGGCCGGCGGCCTTTTGTTGCGCGCGCGGCTCTCTGGTGTCGCCGCGGCTCGTTACAAAAAAAAAAAAACCCCGGCGGAACAAAAGCCCGGCGGGGAGCCCAATTTGACCAGCACCGCGGAACATGAAAAGGAGCTGGTTCCGCTGAACACGCTGATCAACGATGGGAAAAGAAAAGAAAAGTTTCATTCATATATGAGCAGAAGAGAGCCACATGTCCACGATGAGCGTTAATGGTGACGACAATGATTGACGGGTCTGAACGGCCACATTTAACGCAAAAGGGCCTGCATGGCAACGTGGATGTGTGTTATATGTGTTCCACACAACAAAAACACGTTTATATGTTGTTATTCATTATTTATTCTGTTTAATCCAGGTGTTATCCCCGCCGTAAATTGGCCTCAGGCAACAAATAATGTGCACTTACCTTCATGGGACAGATAATTCGTATTGAACTGAATATAAATGATCTTTTGATGCGCTGTTTTGGTCGTGTTAAAAGTATTTAGATGTCTAAAATACTGCATCTTTATGCAGTGCGCTGTGTTTGTGCGCCAATAGTAGATGCGCCAAGTTCTCGTCGTCTTGTGTTGCCCCGAACTTCATTCGAAACGTGGAAACCAAACAATTTGTTGACTTGCATTTAAGTCTAAATGGATTCAAACAAAGCTGTAAATACTGCTGATTTATGCTGCTCCAGATATTTAAAAAAAACTGGACGATATTGGAAGATCTTGTGTTAAAATAACGTGAATGGGCTGTTTCAAAGGGCCAGGCGGTGCAAATCATCTTGCAATGTATGTATTTGATATAGTATTTTAGTGCACGTGAATAACTGCTTTCTGTGTTCGGGTTATGCAGCTCCTTTAAAAAACAGCCTATTTATAAAAGTTTTAAAAAAAAACCTAATTCTTACTATTAATCTATTTTAATACGAACTATAGCTGCATCGGGTGCCCCGGGAAAACGGGGCTCAGGTGCGCAAATGTCCTCTCCGTTGGAACGTGTGGGAGCAGCGCGCTCCCGTTCACAAACAAGAAGACACAAACAAACGCACGCGCGTGCACGCACACAAACCAACACTCGCACGCGTTTCAGATTCACACGATGGAAGAAGTCACTCCCGACCTGATTAATCATGCAGTTAATTGATTGCGATTTCATTAAGACGTTAATTAACCGCAGACTTAATTGGATTAATTGGATCGTCACTTTATCATCTTGTATTCTGGATTTTAAATAGCTTCAAAGCGGCGTGTTTTGTAGGAATATCAGGAAGATATTCACACTCATAACCACTTTGACTATGATAAAGATTTTTTTTTTAATCCGTTTTTCAGACGTCCAGAAATAGTTTTTGTTTTTTCGTGAATGTGATGCAAACATTCAGGCCTCCACACAGGTTGGATAAAAAGCACATGTTAAAACTGATGATACCCTATTGCGCTAATAAGATAAAAAAATAAATAAATCGAGTTGTACTTTGACTCTTGGTGGCTCAGAAGAGTCAAAAGTATTAAGTACAAATTGTATTTTTTGTTTATGAAGAGGGTCGACGTATCTCGTGGTGACATGATCATTTTAAATGAATTAATTTAGCAGGAAACAGTTCACCTTAATCAAAATGTCAGTTTCCTTCTCTATGAAAATGTCACAAAGTTACCAAGAAATCATTTTGGTCTGTATCCCCCGGGCACCATTTAGTGGACCCGTATATTATCTGTACCATTCAGCATCAGACGCAATGCAATTCAATAAAACACACAAATACTTTAGAAGAATCAGTTTTGTGAAAACAACGAGCAGCGCAGAGGTTTGCTTTGCTTTAAGTCATGACGTCATTCTTGCGTTACGCGTTTTCCTTACAACAAACGAGCGCCGATGGGGGTGAAACAAAGTGACAGAGGATGACGGACATGATTACAGGTCTGTCTGTAAACCAAAAGTGAAACCGCGCTAGAACCTACCAAACATTTATTGACATATTGTTCCAAAAAAAAAAAAAAAAGATGTTCCGACCCCTGGAAGCCTGCGCGCGACGGGCCCCGCACGCAGGGCTCGGGTCCGAACGGCTCGCGCGTGCACGCACGGGCCCCGCGCGCGTCACTTCCCTCCCCGTCTGACGCGGAGCGGAGGGGTGACGCTGTCAAACTTAATCTGAGTTTATGAGGAATCCACAGCGGGAGATTGTTGGGTTGTTGTTTTTTTCAGTTGTGTGTCTGCTTCAGTAAAAGGTGTATTTTATCATTTATTCCCAACTTTATCGAGGGCTATTGGACAACGCTTCTTCTAATCAAATGTTTGATTCCACAAACACCCGTTGCTTCAAATGAACCAACTCTGCTGCCAATGAACCAACAGCTGTTGGACATTATTAACAAGTTATACTATTTCAAAAGATATCCAAACTTGCACTACTTCCATTTCCTATACTTGAAAGTTTGCAGGGGTTTTCTGACACCGATCTATCTTTCCTCTCCAAACATTGCTTTTTTTTTTTTTTGTCCCTTTTGTCCATAAACACTTGTCCGCGACCTACGTCGTCTGTTCTTAAAGGTGGAGGAATCAGCCTCCGTAGTTCTCGCTTGTCCTTTTTCTTCTTTCTTAAAGTAGACAACTGACTTTGAGCTGTTTGATTTCTCCCACGGCCACGTTCTGAATGACTTCGTCTTCATCTTGTCCTTTATTCGCTAAAAAAAAACCCTTTTTTCCTCAGACTGATGGAGAGAGAGAGGAGGAGGATGCGAGGGACAGGGGGGAAGAGCGAGAGGGAGAGAGAAAGGAGAGAGGAAGGAGAGAGGGAGCTTACCTTTCTGTGGCATGCTGCAGAGAAGTAAAGTTTTGGTTTCGCTTAGTTTTCCAACAGCTCCTTTTCTTCTATTCTTTCCTCCAATTAGTTTCTCCTTGACTGAGGAAACAAGTGCATGCAGGGAGAGACGGGGCTGCTCCTCTGAGGAGGAGGAGGAGGAGGAGGGAGACGAGCGAGAGGGAGGGCGAAGGGACTGATGGGGAGAGAGAGAGAGAGGGAGGGAGGAGGGGTTTAGGGCTTTAGGGTGTTGAGAGCTTGTTCACTGAAGAGTGAGAGAAAGAGAGGGGTGATGTGTGTGTGTGCGTGTGAGAGTGTGTGTGTGTGTGTGTGTGTGTGTGTGTGTCTCTCCTGATCATTCTCCCACACTTGATCCCTTGTTCTGCTTCGGTACAGTTCGCTGTACTTAATTGGCGTGATATTAGCAAATGCTCAAAGACCGCGCGATTTCGACCGACAGAATAAAAGGTTTGACAACTTTTGTCAAAATCCCATTTCCGCCTCGTGTGCTTAAAACTATCGCTTTGTGCTTAGAAAGCCGGTGGAAGGAGATCCGGTTCCTGCGCCTCGCGTGGAACAAACCGAAGCCCTGCGGCGTGAAAAGAGGCCTTCGGAATGAGTGTTCGCAGCAGTGACGGACGGGTCCAGAGCAGCGTTCCCCCCATCGCTCCCCTCTCATCTTTACGTATCTTTCCCTCACCACCAAAAGAAAGCAGGAATGCATATTAAAAAAAAATAATGTCACAATTATAAGTTTATAATTATACGAGTATTTATTGATGGATTACATCATTAAAAGAGCTATAAAACTATGAATGTGCAATGTATCTAACATCTTGTCTCTTTATAAGCCTGCATGTCGGTTTGTACTTATAATTATTTATAATGACAGTTACTGAAAGTACTGTGAAATATGTGGCTCAGTAAACACAAATCTATATAAAGCGCTTTGATCAATTAAATAAAACCTTGTGAACGCTCTACTTTTTAACTTCACATCTGAATAATTTGCACCATATTAAACTCACATCGGGTTTATAGCTGACAGAATAATAATACCTTCTGCCTGTTCACGTTCATCCTAATCACATATTGTACCTTGATGTTTTAATGACAACACAGTGGTCTTTACCTGGTCTTTATAAATAGGATCAGTCTTTGTTCTCAATCAGGAACAAAAACTCAACTTCGACTTTTTTTTGGTGTTACATTTGAAAATTGTAATATTTTACTTCAGTGATTTAAGTCAGGCAACTTCACATATATTCATTGGGGTTGGAAAACCACATTGGGTTCTATTTCTGCCCAGATTAAGTCTACATAACATAATGTTGATATGGAATCTCTCAGTCTAAACTGTTTTTGCTATATTTTTGCAGTAGTAATATGTGCCGTAAGCCACACACGTGTAGATACATATTTAAAGACATATTTGTATTTGCAGAACATGGTTTAGTGTAGAGAAAAATGGTTTAGATTTCACATTAAAGTATGTTGTGACCCAGAGAACTGCTTTGCTTTATTTAACATTTGATTGAAACCACCACACGTCCCCTGGGAACGCTCTTATTTTGTGATTGTCTGTCTTGTCCCCTTATCGTTTCCTCCTGTGTCCAATCACCTGCACTTCCCCAGTGTATTTAAACCCTGTGCGTCCCTTGTTTCCTCGTCAGTTTTTCTGTTCTATAAACGGTTCTTACACTTAGATTGCTTTTATTCCTGCTTGGTTCCAGTTTTTTCTTATTTAAGATTTTCTTCTTTGAACCCTAGTTCTGCGTTTGGGTCCAACTTTTTCCCTAAACGAGACTATAATATAATAATAACAATAGTAACCTAAAAGAAAAAAAAATGATAAAACATACAAATTCCAAGTTTGGCAAAAGTAAAGGACTTAAAACTATAAGCTTAAATTGAATCCACCATTTGATTTGACTAAATCCTAACTAAGACGTTGTGTTGCTTAAGCTTAACTTGCTGTGAAGACAGAGGTTTGTTCACAACCATTATTGGCAAACGTGTACAAGCCGCCTCTACATTGTAAAGTATGCTTAAAGCATCATGCCCATGACCAAGTTGTTTTATTTGATACATCTGTGCCCAAATGTCATGGGCGGGAAGCCGGAGACCAAGACAGCATACGGGTAGTATAAAAATATCCACTCTCCTAAGAATGGAGTAAAAGTAACGCGAGGGAATCCTCTTTTTTCTTTTTGACGGAAACCTGCGGAGGTACTGCATGGGGGGTCGTAACATTTTTGGTTGATAAGACAATTTTTTTTATTATTATTTTTTTTCCAAACATTTTTTTTCCAAAAATGTAAATGTCTTCAGAGTTATAATTGTATTTATTGTTTATTACTTGGCCTGAACAACAAAGAAGAAGACCCCTGATTCAAAGTATTCAAGCGAACTGCAAGTAAATCCATGGACAAGTTATTCCTTTTTATTAATAAAGATGTCAATAGGCTTAATTTGTAATTGTCTTTATGTAGCTGTTAATATCCACGTCTAAATGCCTTAATATCTATGGCTTGATCTGAGGTTATTCATATTGACCATCAAAGAAAAGTAATATTAGCCCACTGAGACATGTAAAACACAAATTAGTCCCAAACCTTTAAGTAGAACTCAAACCGGTTTTGTACTGTAAACTGTACTGTACCAAAGGTCCAACCAAGTTTTTCAACGTTCTGAAGACAATGGAGATGGTTTTGGATTTCAGGAAGGAAGCAGTCCCACTAGCCCATCCTTCTCTTTGCTCGGCTCTATACCCAGCACCTCAAGTGCAAGACAATTAGGGTGCACTTCTACACCGCCATCATTGAGTCCATTCTCTGCTCCTCCATCACCATCTGGTACGCTGCAGCCACTGTCAAGGACAAGGGCAGGCTACAGTGTGTCGTCCGCTCTGCAGAGAGGGTGATCAGCAACAATCTCCGTCCCTCCTTGACCTTTTGCTTCATGGACCCTAAAGCGTGGATTATAGCCGACCCTTCTCTCCACAAATCTATAAGGATGCTGCAGCCCATCAGGACCAAGTCACACAAACAGTTTCTTATAGTCGGGCTCATAAACAGAGCCCCACTGACTGACTTTGACATCCCAACTTCCTACCGGTCACACCCTTTGTACACATTGTACAGTATCTGTATCTGCACTTCATTTGGATTTTATATTATTTTTATATTCTTCTCTATTCTTTTGTAAATGTAATTGTTAATGTGTTAATTTGTCCTATTGTCTCATTGTCCAATGTATGTACCACCTGCCATGACAAATTCCTTGTCTATTTGGCAGTAAAAGGTTCTGATTCTGATTCTGGTTGGGTCAAGTAATATGTTGGGATCCTGTCAAAGGTATCAATGAGATCTGAAGTCACTCCCTGAGTGCTTCGCAGCTACTTAATGCTACCGTGGGGTCCGCTAAGCAGAACAAAGGCTCAGTATACTTTTCACTTTGTCCCAGCTGGAGGTGCAAAGCCATAAGAATCAACTGGCTCGAGTTTAAAAATAAAAAAGGATTGAAATTGAGTGAAATACGCTATTAAAAGTCTAATATGTCGCAAAGTAGAAAACTTCGTTCTGCACAGCCGATTCTGACCTCAAAGTATGGATCTCCAGAGATTCTGCCTGTCTTTCTAGTGCAGTCTTTCCATATTTCGTAGGGTGTGTTAATTTTTTTAACAGCCGCGTGGGATTGGCTGCACATTCAAACGTAGCTCCTCCCACATTGGCCATCGTGACATTCCTCTCTGCCTCCAGGGATTTCATGACCTTCCCTCCTGGCTACATCTGATTCTGGCCGAATCTGAAATCCCTCACTGTCCTCACCAATCTCTATTCACTTGATATTATAATACATTCAATATTACATCAACATGTAAATCGTTTTTTCAGGCAAATCATTTCCAAGTACATACAAAACCCTAACCCTTGACCTGAAATGTGCACCACCCTGTTTGGCAATGTGGTTTTTCAATAAAATAAAACATTTGCATAAAGCAAGCCAGTCCACTTTTCCATGTTGAGCATTCAAATTTTAAAAAATGATATGGAAAAAAAAAAAGACGATAAAAAGTTGCCATTAATTGTGATTTATTTTGAGTTAATGACATAAACGCGATTAATCATGATTAAATATTGAATCATTTGACAGCACTAAACAACACACAAACTATAATAACACCAAATGCTGTCGTGTTATTATACTAAATAGCGTCCGTAGGTGCGACAGCTCCGTGGATTTCACCAACTTTCACCAACCAACCAACAGAAAGCTTATATTTTTTTTTTTTTCTGAAAAATGTTTTATTTTGAAAATTGCCCGGATTTTCTCCTAATTATGTGCGCTCGTCCCTCTGATATATTCCCCACGCGTCAGCAGGCGTTTTTTTCTTCACGTTTACAATTGTTCTCTTACCGTGCAGTTTCGCCCACCAGCGAACACAGAGCGCGCGACTACTACTTCCCCCCCCTCCCCCCACGTCGGACCTTCTCAACCGGTCCGTGAGGTAAAAGGTTGGGGACCACTGCTCTAGCACATCCAAACTGCTTTATTAAGGGCTACACACACGGTATTATTGAGTAAACTTCCTGCAATATTATTTAATATTGAGTAGCAGCGTTACAGCATTTTGTTGCAAAACCTTTGCGTTTGGGAGCGACTTTGCCGGAAATTTTCGGGCACACAGGGTTTTACTGTCAAGCGTAGCAGGTTGCTAGGCAGCGGATGCAGCAGAGCAAGAAAATAATAGTAACTCTGGAAAAATTACTGTTTTTCCTGTGTACCAGCAGCGAAGTAAGTATGACATGCCTGTGAACAGAAATATTATATAAATCCAAAAGTAATCACATTAAAATAATGTTTTTTCTACAAAAAGCTTATGAGGCCAACAGGTATTTGTAAATGCGAGTCACATTACTCAGCTATTATTTGAGGCTCTGACATTATTTCAATGAAGTCTTTTATATGACAATTTGTCATGCTAATTGGCTCATGACTTGTGAAAAAAAGACACTTTACTGTCATCTGGGATCAGATCAGTGGCCCTGCAATTACGGCTGCTGTCAGAGTTCTGTTTTATCTCTGCAAATGAAGAGGAAATGAATTCACCACCACTTTCTGATGGACAGTAGCTCAA